TGTTCGAAGAGGCTTCTCCAGTAACGAATCCCTTAAAACCTAGTTCATTAAATCTCGTAAAACTGCAGTTAATAAAAGATACAGCAATATTGAAATCTGTCAAAGGGTTAATGAGTGTACGTTTTTCACAATGCTGCGCAAAGCTGGTGACCTTTATCAGAATGTAGTTAGATTCCTTGGTCATTTGCCGTCTCAGTGGCCTCTGCAACTCTCCTTGTTTTCGGCTGTCTTCTCTATCGTCCGCTTTTTTCATCTGCGAGAAAAAAAATATAATCAAAATGATGACACTTAGGATTAAAATAGTGCAGATGTTACATTCTCATTTGTAAAACAAGAAACAAATCTTTTCTTCGATCCTTTTTTTTTTGATCAATGTTAACGGTAAATACTTCCAATATTCAAACTTTGTGCGCTTCCTGTATGATTCTCATTGGCTGTCGTGAGTGTGGTAATGGCCAGTAACGCATAGTAATTTATGACTTTCCTTCTCCTTTTCCAGCATTTTAGGAAGTTGTAATGTTACTTTTGTCTCGAAAGTGACTTAAAGGATGACGGCTGCAAAGTCTTCTTACTAAGGCCGGCTACGACCCCTTGCGATATAGGTGAAAATTTCTCGTTTATTCTAGAGCCAGTACACGTGTTCCTTAGCCGTAAAATTGCACGAATCATTCTCGAAACCATGAATAAAAAGCAAAGCTAACGCCACATCAGTATTTGAACACTCTCATCACTGTCAACAAAAATCAGTTCTATTATCATTAACATTCTAACATCTCCACGTAACATAACACATAACATAACATAACGTTTATTCAGGAAGCTACAACGCAAATATTAAAAATACATCCTGAAAAGGGAAAATCGTGAGGTTAGCCCTGTATTAAAACAATTTTCCTGACTAAAAACATACAAAAGAAAAAATTTAATGGCTACAGATTCAATAAATATTTAATAAATATTCAAATAAATTTTAAGTCTACTCTTAAAAACAGACAATGATTCGGCGTGTACAATGTAATCTGGCAAGCTGTTCCATTTCTCCACAATGCGAATGAAGAAAGAATATTTGTAACAATTACAAACCGCTCTTTTCAGGTTAGGTTTATAGTCGTGGTTAGCTCTTGTACGCTTATTGGCAAACACAAAGAAATCTGGGAAAGAGAGGTCATCAATACCATAAACTATTTTATAACATTGAACCAGAGATAGAAATTCTCTCTGCTTTTCAAGTGTTTGCCATTTTAGTAAGCTAAAACGGTGTTCGTAACTCATTTCGCCTCGTTTCTTCCTTAAAGCTAGTCGCGAAGCTCTTCTTGACCCTTTTCTAGAGCCGTAATATCCTTAATCAAATAAGGACTTCAAACAGGGGCCACATACTCAAGTATGGGCCTGACCAGTGACTTATAGAGCTGCGAAAACACGTACTGTCTATTAGTTCCGATGGACCGCTTTATGATACCTAATACCATATTTGCCTTATTTACCGTTGCAGATACATGCATGCCCCAGTACAAGTCAGAAGAGATGGTTACTCCGAGGTCCTTAGTGTTCTCTACCAGCCTACTTCAGACCTACTTTAGTGTTCTCTACCTACTTAGACTGATCTTCTCCAGATATTGAAAATAACGGCTTTCCATTTTAACCTGGAAGGAAATTATCATAGGTTGGAGGTGAATTTCCATGTTTCGAGACAAATCGAAGTTGCCCGGTGCATTTCCAGTTTTAAAATACCGATTATTAGACCCTCCATTGCTTGGCCCCAATCCCTTTTCTCCCGCTCGATTATAGCTCCATCTATCTGAAATCGAGGGAGGATAGGAAGAGAGACCTCACGTTGAATGCTGAATTTAACTTTTAAGAAAAGGTTTATTTCAGATTTGAACATCCAATGCTATGTTACAGGTGTTGTTTTTCGAAAGTAACACCTGTAAATTGATAGGGATGTCCCCACTCCACCATAGAAGAAAATCGTCTCCTTACGCTCTCCAAGGTGAGGTTGCACGATGTCTTGCTCCTCCTGTCCACTTCCCTCTACCACTAATTGACTTGTCTCAATTTCCACAATACCACTGTCCCCTTCAGCCCCAATGTTCCTCCTGTTTCCCTAAATATGGAGATCTTGTATTGGAAACAGGAAATATTGCCTTAAAATATAACTCCACTTTATTTAAAATCACCAAAAGTAGTTACAAAAGTTTCATAAAAACCCTAAAAATCGAAAAACACATTATAATGTCCATCAGAAGCTAAGAAAAAACACACCTCGTCTACGTTTACTTCTCGAGCTTTTCGTTAATAATAAAGGTGATAATAATAATGATAATAATAATGATTATAGTGATAACAATGATAACAGTAATCCTATTAATCAGATCCTCACAAATGGCAGCCTCTGAACTTTGAATATCCAGGTCTACATTTAGTAAAATCCAATTTGAGCCTTCTAATTGTTCTGGATCCTCTTAGGCAGATTAGGGCCGATCTTAATAATGCAATCGAAGTTTTTTCCCTGCTCCAGGAAATTGTCTTTGAATAGTGTTCACCTTTCTTGACTGCAATGAGTTCTGCAACGCGACTGTGAAATCTCAAACATTCTTGGCCCATTCCACCAGTCGAAGTAAACACAAGAGGCGTAAATGAACCATGTTCGATGTCTAGAACACGTCTTGAGTAGGAACGTTCTCATTCTCATGCACGCGGTAAATCTGCTGCGGTTCCAGATTTCTGTACGATTCAGCGTTTGGGTGACAAACTCGAATAGCGAAAAATGCAGATCGATTGTGTTCCCAGAAACCACGAGCATGAATGTCTAGCCTTGCATCTTGCACCATGTTGGAATCACTGTTTAATTGCTCTCCTGTCGTGTCTTGGAGTTGGGGTCCGATTTCCACATCTTTGCAGACAATTCCTAAAAGCTCAGCCTCTAAGTCTCAAAGTTCGTTGTGGCGCTGTATAATAAAGCCACCCTTTTTTGCAGACAATTGCATAGTCCACTGTGAACACGTTCCCACAAGCACATTTGGAAGGAATATCTTCCAATTGCCAGTCGTATCGCAATTTAATAGCGTCTCGGAATTCTCTTTTGTTGAGATTACATCCTTGCTCTTGTAAGGGAAGGACGGTTAACCATACCGATGAACCCTTTTCGGTAGCCAGATCTAGTGCTCGCTTAGTCTTAAGTGGTGCCCTCTCATAAACACTCTTCACTCTTTCTTTGACGTCTTCGTCCTTCTTGTGCTGGGAAGTCTGTTTTGATAATTTTACTGCCGAGTCTTCTGGTAAGTGATGTTGTTGGACTTTAATTTGTTCGACGAGCGGTGCAGTTGTTTGTCTTTGTAACACTTCTTTTTTTGAAAAGTTTTTTCAAAAGCTTTTTTTTTTCCTTCTTTTTTATTTCGAACAGTCTTCTGATTGTGGGGAAAAGCAAATTCGTAATTGGGGCATGATCTGGAAGGGGCTTGGGCACCTACCAACGATTTCTCTGTAGCTGAGCTAATGGCGCATCCCTCAGTGAGATGGTGGATGGTTGTTGACTCGTAATGACCTTAAGGTACATGGCTCTGAAGTGGGGCAGAAAGGGACGACGGGAAAGAGGAAGTGGAGCCGTCAGAAATGGCTGGACTTACAATCCATGCGGGATCACAACACTTTTCAAGTTGCCTCAGACTTTTGACAAACGCTAATGATAAACATCTATCTCCAAACGTACGATTTTTAAGTAGATAACCCATATAAGACCGTACCGAATCCTTGCCTCATCTTTCCATTTACTCATATCTACATGAGGAACATCGGCACAACAAACTTCCTGGTTTTTTTCTTCCGACCCTTTTTTTAACATGGCCTTGGGCTGAATTCTGTTTACCTCATCACTTTTGTCGCAGATGATTTTAGCAAGAGACGCTCTCTGTATTTGCTGCAGTTGATCAGAATTAAATCCGGTCGGCGAGTCATTTTGGTATCAAAAACGATCCCCTTTTCGTAGATTTCTTAAAAAGGAGAAAAAGTACCTCGAAAATTGTAATAGTTTAGTAAATCCTAACTCAGGTAACCACAACGGCAAGTCAGAGCGGCGGAAAGTACCACAGAGAGCAAACGAGAACTCAGGGTAAAAACAAGCACACTGCCTGAAGCGCCACAAGATCTGCAAAGACTCCGGGTCCAGGCTTTAATTTCATTGTTAACGCCTATGAAAACAACCTTTCAACAAACACAACACTCTTTAGAAGACCGAAAAAGGTTGACAAACATATCACAGGCCAGGTGGAGGTACAGATCTTCCAAACTATCCCAGCCACAAATCACATTGGAACAGAAGTTTTGCACAGGAGCTAAATTGTCCATATCACCACCCACCCCTCCCCCCTTCCCTCCTCGCTTGCATTTCATCAGGTCCCAGAGGAGAGGAACACTGTGAGAGCGAAGTGTGTTGCCCAAGAACACAAACAAATTAGCCCACCCAAGGCTGAGGTAACCTAAAGTTCTACATTTATTGCACACGCAAAATGTTACCTATCAGTTTTCCTGGCAGATTGTTCCAGCATTCCATTCAAGATACTGTCCACGCCTCCCTGCTGTAAGTTGTACAAAGGAGTTGGATTGTGCATATCGTCTATGGGCATATCAAAATTATCAGGCCCTGTGTACATATTGCCAACAGTAATGTGACCAAACCTTAGGGCTGCGGATCCAAACCTGTTAGCAATGGAGGAATTAGCGGATGGGTGGTATTGCCATGGTTGGGTTAGATTCAGTTCGTATTCTCGAAGCTGTTGAAAACATGGGCGATTATTCTTTCTGCAATCGTTAAATAAATAGCCGCATTCATACGAGCACTTTTTGACTTGTCAAGAAAAACGTGCATTTCGTCTGAGCGACGTAAAACTAAAGTAATCATAACTGCCAATCAGTACAAAGGAAAATATCATAAGTAGCCAATGAGAACTCAAACTACCTGTAGCGC